ATAAAGAGAAACAGGAACTCAATAGTGTGGATGCTTAAAGCATCCACACAATTATTATCAGTAGTTACAACTGTCAATCACAGGACTGGTGCACTTCTAAGGAAAAATATGAAACCACTAAAAAGTCCAGTTTAAGAAACGTGCAATAGCAACATTGTTTTTGTTTTCCTCCTAAAAAGAAAATTACCATACAAAAAGTATGAATTCCAAAATAATAATAATAATTGATTTTTATTAATAGTTTAGTGTTTACAAGAAATGTCAAAATATTACATATTCAACTTGCTTTTATTTATTTCAGCCAAACGTTGAATGAATGCATGATCACATTCCTTCCTATTGCAGATGGTCATGCAGTGGGAGTCACTGTGCACAGAATTTGATTAGCTCTGTGTGCACTGTGGAGACTAAAGTGAATGATCTACTAACAAAACTTTCCTTCTGTTTTTCTTCATATAAAGCTGACAAAATTAGGTTTCACCATCAGACGACTGTGGGCTGGAGTTGGGTTTTGATTAATTAAGAAAGAGACAGAAAACTTGACATCTATATTGTCTCACAAACTGATCCGAGACACATTTAAACTGCAAGATGTTTCCCAATAAAGAGAAGATGGGATTCCTGGTTAAAAAAAGTGAAGAAACAGAGAGGATACAGCAGAGAGAGCGAACCAGACGAGCAGCATGGAGGGAGAAAGGCCAAGTATCAGACAGAGCATTCATTACCACCTGACTGACCTGCATATTGCGCTGTGTGAGAGTAATGGGAAAGGACACACTCATCGGCCAAAGCCCAGCAAGTAAGGTGCTTTTCACTCCCCCCTCTCTTTCCTTCCTCTTTAGCAATTCGTCAGTTTCTTACCTGGTTCAATTTCTATTTTCAGACAATGTACTGTGAGATCCCGGTGTTTTCAAAAACTCCATAATAGGGGACTGAACCATGGTAATGCCATGGCTAATGTAATGCATAATGGATCACCTGCTTCTGCAAAACAAAACTGCCCAGTTATTAAGTACTACTGTTCTTATTTTTCTGTGTTAGGTACTTATGTTAGTGGCATACTTTGTCAAAGAACCCAAAATATTCTGAGGTGGAATAACTATCTGTGTAGATATAGGCATGTTAGCAGCTTTTAAGGCTGTCCACAGGAAGGCTTTGAAGGAAATGTTAAATGCCCAAATGCTCTTAGTGGTAATTCTAACATGCTTATGCACAAAACAAGTGGAATGGTGATCATGTGTAGCATCTTAGTGTTAGCAGTGGGTAAAAAGCACAAAACAAGGTGCGAGTCTTGCAGGTGTTTAGTTATAAACCTGTTTTATTTCTTTTTTTGGTGTTTTAGATAGCAAAGTGTGGACTGACCAGCAATGCAGGAAACAGCAGGGGAATAACAAGCAGAGGAGGATTATCTAGCTGGGAGGCAAATCATGGACCTGTCTGTTTAGGGCATTTCATTCCACGTGGTGCCCTAGCCTCTCAGTGACTAGATCACAGATGAATCTAACATGATAGACAAAATGACAGCAGAAGATGGAAACTCTAGGGATCATGCAAATTATAAGAATTCATCATTAGGGGAAAACAGATATTTGCATTGAATTTCATGGTAATCCATCCAGTACCTGTCAAGACATTCTACTAGGTGACAAAAATGTCAAAATTCTCAAAGTGCAAAAGGAAAATTCAAGATTACCATGGTCAACAGTGTTCAGTATCTCACAATGCATATGTTATTATTGTTAAAAATAAGGGGGACAGTGTCAAGAGATGGAAAATGCCCTGCATGGTTCAACAATATTTAAGAAGGGAGATAAAAACACTACATTCAATGCGTGGATGCACACACGTTTACAATTTCTTTGTTTCTTAATCCATAATTTGCATTTAAGAATTACATAAAGTTAAAAGAACAAACATCATTGCTGGGCTTGAAACAATCTGCCAACAGTGGCCAGTGTTTATCAGTTTGTTATAAGTGAACAGAGGCTTTCACTTTTGTTTCTACAAGCAGACAATGCACTCAGAAAAAACGCTTTCTATATATTCCCGGGTTGTTAAAATTGACTTTTCAGTTTTTCATCCCTTTCAAGTGAAGGAATGTGAAAATATCTGTAGCTGTATATTGGAAATGCTCTTTCCTTTGGACTGCCTTAGTTTCTCTGCATAACAAGAAGTTACAAAATCAGTTCCTTGGTTTTCTGTTATTGTGAGCAAATTAAAAAATTGTACTTAAGCTAGATAGATATTTACATAAGTACTCCACTGAAGTAAGTTACTTTAAGTAATTTAAATGTGACATTATGTTAAATTCGCAATTTTTACGGTTCACAAATATCAGTACACATCTGTGCCACTGTGCTCCCTGTGTTCAAATCACAGACGCGAGTTTGAATGAGGTTAATCAAAAGCCTTGGCACTAAGTCTGCACAAAAGAACCAAAGTGAAGTTATATATAACTTTGGTTATCTCTCTCTCTAGTATATATATACACACTAAATATCAGTAGAAAAATATTTCACTCAGCTTGCACCGGTGCATCACGTTAGTAAATCTTGTCCCATAACTTTAAATGCTGAACTCAGGAGCTCAGAAAGACAACACAGTAAAAGTTCTTATATAGGTACTACCCACGGGCAGCAGCATCCACTTAGACCTCTTACCTGCGACTCTACTTGATCTGTAGTCTTTGTACATTCTACAGGTGTAGCGTCGTCAGGTGTGATCTCAGCTTCTCTGTTCTTGTAAGCGAATCTGTTTTGCAAAAGAAAACCAAGGGTAAGAAAGGTCTGGTCAGCAGCCATTTGTTCCGTTCACAAAACACCACCGAAGAGTTTTTTACATCACAACTCCGCAACCCGACTTATTCATTCTGTAGTCGTTCAAGGACACCAACCGAGAGGAGCTTTTAGGAGGGGTCTAAAATAAAAAGGGTTTTGTCTTGAATAGAAAGAGAAGACAAACAGAGGAGACTGTAATTCATCCGCTTCTCCAAAAGGCACGACCTCCCTGCTTTGTGGAGCAGAAGCTCATCCGAGCCATAGAGGGCCTCTGAGGCATGGGAGTGTCCCATTGACTGCACTATTAACACTCAAACTGAGAGGATCAGCATAGAGGAAATACAAAACGCTGCACAGAGAGTTCTGTAACGCATTTCATTCTACCAAGAGAGACCCCGAGGGGGCCGTGATGACCAGAGTAATTGGCTTTCTCCACTATGATAATCTGCATCAGTCATGCCATGCCAACACACTCTCAGGCCACTGAGAAGGTCACAGCGATCCCAAACCTCCCTCCACACTGCTGAGCATAGCATCTGAATTCTTATAGAAAGACATTTATACTGCATTCTTGGGATGTTACATTCAGGTCAAGGACTTTCAGTTACAAATTAAAGTTCACTTTCAAATGCATCACAGTACACAATACTCACAAGATAACACCAGTTCTGTGTAATTCTGCGATACACTTCAAGAGAAACACTTCATATCTCTTTTCCTCTACGGGTTTTTCACTCTTCGGTAAGCATTAGTTAAGTGCCATTAACTAAAAGTCATGAAATATCGATTCTGGTTTAGAGTACCTATGTGTTTTAATATAAAGATATTGACATTTGGCACCAGTGTACTGATAATGGCACAGCAAAAGGAAGCAATACAGTACATTGCTTATCAATATTTTTTCCCCAACAACACTCTTTGTATCCCTGCCCTGAAGCACGCTTGGCTGGAGCGTCACTGGTATCATCATTTAAAAAATGAGCATGAAACTATAAGATTCAAAACTAGCACAGCTGGGACTGTCTTGCTTTTACAGCCAGAATCAAGTTTTCTTTCAAAAGACGGAAGTTTCTGGCAATTCCACGTTGGCTTCATTTGTCAGCTCTGGAGGCTGCTTCTTGCTTAATAGAGCTGTGCTACTGTGACAAGCCAAAATGTACTTACTTATAACCCAATAGACTACAAATTACATGTAATAAAAAAATAAGTCCAGACTTTCACATAGAGTGCACAACACGTAAAGAATAAGCTACCATCATATGAAACGTTGCAGCTTTGGTAGGATTTAATGCATCGTGTATGTTATTGTCTTCCGTATGTCAGGCACAGATAAGATTGTTCTCGTTCACTAGTACAGTGGGATATTGGCACACATACAATGACATCTTTGCAAGCCACAATAAAAGTCTCTACAAACTGAATTAAATGTACAAACTGTGCCACACCAGCTAAGCTTGGTGTGTCAGCGTTAAGGTATACAACAATATCTGGAAATTATTCATGTTTAACAAATCCTCACCAAAGCAGTCACCCTGATTTGGTGAGATTTCATTAAACAATGTAATAAACTTACAATTTAACTGAGGCGCCACATATCACCTTATTGGTTGCTCTGTTTTTTAGCTCATACACAGCAACAAAACTGTAAAGCTCCACTGCTACTACCAGCCTGCATTTGTTTTGAATACAGATAGCAGAACAGAAGTGTGATGAGTTCAAAGCTCTTTCCCAGTTGAATTTGTATTTTTCTGCGATAAAACAAAATTCACTCGTCAGCATGAATAACTCTGTTGATCGCCTATTATCTCAAGATTCACTGGAGAAAACCTGGTAAATATGATAACGTTAGATAAATCCTGAGAGCACAGGATATAGTGAAGTTATGTTTATGAATGAGTGCACAATTGTTTCCTTTTCTTACAAGGTTTCAATATAGAAAATAAATCAGAGTTAAAAAAATGCTGGGGGAATGAGGGAAAGAAAAAAACAAAAAGCATTAAATTAAAATATGTTACGTGGGATCAGGAATAGTTAAAAAAAAAGACTATAAAATAAACAAAAAAGAAGTACAATAAAAAGACAAAAGCCCATCTTTTGCATCAACATAATTGACTTAAATCCCTGCTTTACACATAATGCTTTATTACGACAATATCCAAATAAAGATTCAAAATAACTAACAAAGTACAAACGCCTGGCTTGCAATGAAACGTTACTTAATAAATGAATGTAAATTCAGGCTGTTAACCAGCAAAACAGGAAATATCACTGTGGGAAAATAAAAAATCATGCAACCTAATTCTGGTTCCTTTCATTTCCAAATGCAACCAAAAAGTTTTGCACATTAGAAGAAACCAAGAGACACGCAGTACACTGTCAGCCAAACTAAGAAATCAGATTATAAAAGAAAGTCAGGCAAATGAAAAAAATTATTTCCAGCTACTGTAGTGTAGCTATTAATGCTTTCACCTTGTTTTCATCCAGGCCTCGAGAGCCTGTCTGAGTGTGCAATCTTGAAAAAATGTGTCCATGCAGACATCTACTGTAGCAGGAAAGATCCACAAAGGCATTTGTGATCTGTGTGTTGGCAGGTTTTGTCTGCAAGATGCACACAAAGACTTTAGTCAAGTTTGAGGATGAGTTTGGTCAGAAGCTTTCTCTGCACTGCAGCTGATGTGATCACACTTAACATATTATTACACAGAAATGTAATTGTAAACACATCAGAGTGCCATTTGGACCCATAGGCGTGTAATATATACATACGATGAGAATCAGCAAAACCACTGAAAATCTGAGCAAACCATTAACCACAATAACGGTAACTGCAAAGCAAAATCAAGGCCAAGGAGAAAATGCACAATGAGGATGGAAAATTGGGTTAGCTGCTTTGTCAGCATGAGAATGACATTACCCTAGACTTACGAAGAATAATGACAGCTATTTTAATTTGGCAAAATAAGGGATTTCTTAATGTGTGGAGTTCCAACAAAAAACTGTTTTTGAAGTCCTCTGTGGGGACCACAAACAAATGGCATTCATCATTCTTAAGGCACCCACTTTCCCCTATCATATTTGTTATTATCAGCATTCGTCATTTTCCACATACTTCATTCTATAGTACGCTGGCTTTAGATGCTATCTTGGGCAAATTTGTACGCTAATGATTATGAATGAAACGCAGAAACTAGAAGAAAGAAGTTTCACATTTGCAATATCTAACATTTTAAAAAAGATCCAGAAAGCTTGCAATATGCAAACCTCAGAATAAACAAAAACGGGAAAGAAAGTGTTCTAAACACGGTTTGATGCGAACAGCCTTGCTGAGACACTGGACATTTCTTTACAGCACAAAGGCAACATGAATTGTTTATGAAAAAGTGTAGGAAGCAGTGCAGCACAAGCTGGTGAGTGTTTTACAGCTTCAAAATGCTGTTAAATTTGCTGCCTCTGTGTTTATGCTGCGTATGAATGGATTTTCACATGGACTTTTACTCACAGTTAACCACAGGTAACTCCTTGACACATGTAAAGGCCACACACCTGTCTCTAGGAGGGATTAGAGAATCCCCTCAGTGAAAAACGAATAATCAGAGTCAACTGGCCCCCTATAGTGATGGAAAAGGAAGATACCCCATAATAGCCTCGATAGGTCTATTCATCTTTTTTCTGCACAACAGGGAAACAGCAGCCTGGAAATTCACAAACCAAATCGCCCTCTGAAACAATTCACAGCCTTTGATTAATCATACCAACTTCACAAGAACTGATTGGTACTTCGCAAGTAACTAAATCTTTTATTTCCTGTAGCTGTCCCTCAGCCTGTGTGCTTATCTCCGTAATAAAGTACCTCATCTGCCACAGAGGGGCAACAAAATAAAGGCTTGGATGATTTTACATTTGTCTGAAAATCATAGAAATATGTCCACAACACAGAATAACACAACCAAGCTACTAGATTTACTATGATGACATAAACACACACAGAAATGGGTTGAAAATGTGCAGCTATTCGCTTGTGTATAAGTTGTCTGGTGTAGTACTGATGTTTTGCACAGGAAATCAATTTTTCCTTTCTTTTGTCTTGGTATGCCTCATTGGGGGAAAAACCCCCATCAATCATTCAATTATTGGACAGCTTTTCTTGCATTTCTCTCTTTTATGACAACCAGTGCTAGTTGTGTCTAGAAATAGCATTTTAACCTGCGATGCATTATCCACACCGTCACAATGTAAGGTAACGACATGCCCATTTAAGATAATGTGGGCAACCTGATGGTGCATATCAAATGGAGTAAAATGCCATTAGAATAGGGTAGGCAACATATTTTGTTCCAAAGGGCCATACTGACTTACTACTAAAAGTAAGTGAACACTCACGTAATAGATAAATGAACAATTAATATTTTTTATAAAAATGTCCAAATGCTATGTCAACACTTCATTTAGCTTAGTCTTGCAACCTGATATGCCCCGGTCACTGAGGAAACACAATGCATTGGAATGAAGTAAAACAGCAATAATAAAATCAATGTAATTATTCATCTCGAGACATCTTCTGTCTATGTACCTGTACACATGTTCATTATATACTAGTAATTAAGACGGGCTATATTATGAATTATGGTCTTTTTTTTTTCTAAAAGCAAGAAAAATATGTCGCCAAGTTGTCTTAATTTAGTTGTGTAACTCGGAGGGACACAAGAAAAGTAAATTCAATAATTTATGTGTATGCTATGATGTAAATCTGAGGGTAAATTTTAATCACAGGCGTCTAAGTTATTTAATCTAACATGCTTAAAATATCAACGATAAAACCACAGCTAACTTATGATCATATGAGGAAGAACTTGGTGATGGTATGAAGGAAGAAGTCCTTTTAAACAGGAAAAGAACTTCAAAAGAACCAAGCTTAGGGAAGGGCAGCTATCTTTTTGATTGGTTGGTGGGCGAGGTGAAAGAGAAGGAAAAGTG